GGTAGTCTATGCAGTATTTAAGAACACCTTAAGAACATTTTCAGGCTAATTTTGCAGAAAACACCTGATATATAAGAACAAAATCAGCCTGAAACCGCAAAACACGTGTTCTTTTATGCGGGTTTTACTGTAACTGAAATGTTCATCCTGCATAAATATGTTTATTATTCTTATTGTTCTGCCCGAGTATTATATCCAAGCCGCCAAAGGTATGGAAAGAGCTCCAAAAACTGCACTCCCCCTATACGTTTTGTAGCTTGGGTTGTAACCCTCACAAAAAGGAAAAGATTGTCCATGCAGGTTCATCGTGATGTCTTTTTGTCCGACTGGGAAACTCTGGCATTGTTTCTCGGTCTTTCTCGCAAATCCCAGCTTGGCACCATCCTTTGAAACCAAACTCCGCGCTTTCGTTTCTTACTATTCCTCTCCTGGTCTCTTTTGGTGTGCCCCTCTGACATTTGCCTTCAAGGGTTGGTCATGCACATTTTAAAATTGGTGACGGCCTTCGTATCGTCCAATTCTGTCTGTAATCACTCGTGATTAAACAAACTTGTCAATCAATAGTATGATTACAGACCAAATTGGACTCCACTCAGCGCTTTCACCATTACTAATAGATAAACGGGCAAAAAAATACATAGTTGACTTTTTTATTGCTAATGAAAAACAAAGGCATATATAGCAATGGCTCTAATCCTATTCCCTTTTCTGTACCAAAGCCTGTTGATGCTTGCCTGTCTGCCTCGAAGAGACTTTAAGTGTTACAAAACCGACCAAAACAAGCTATTAGTAACGATTTAAAAAAAAGCAGTTGTACGATTACTTCCTTAACGTAACCTTTCCTGTCGAGAAGAGGATGTTCACTCTGAATACTTTCACAACTATAATGCTCGGCAAACAAACTTGATTGGCTCGAGCGTACTGAGTATTGCTAAAATTATCATGAGTATTACATATCCTCCTATCCCATGAATGCAACAGACACAGTTAAGACGTACTGACAATGTTTCTGTTGCAAACCTTGTAATGAATTATTTGCATCAAAGCAAAATCGTTCTACATGTAGCCTACACTGATCAGAGGTTTACCAAGGGTTAATATTTTATGATCAAGTCCAGTTTCTCATTCTATGCCACTTGTAAATTTACTGGCTGCTGTTTTTCTTCGGACACGGAAAATAACATCTATTTCAAGGTCCTTTAAAAAAGGTTTCGTTCCTAACCTAAACTGCTACAAATCCGTTTCTTATAAAAGACAAATCAAAAGTGATGATACAACTTTGTTGATTTTCGAGTTGTCTGTTGCGACTTGAATAAGACTATTAAGCAGTCGGAAAACAAAGCGGTCTTTTAAACGCCTACAAACGGTTCTATTGCAGCCAGCACTGCTTTGGCGAGTCTGAACGCCTCTTGCGCTTGCTGAGAATCTTGGAACACATCAGCAGGAACCTTAGGTGGCACCTGTTTGTCGGGGTACCGAGTGGTGTCGTAGTAGTCGGACAGCCTAGCCACCAATGTAGTGACATCTGGTGCTCCTCGCAGCAACGACAGATCATAGGCCAATTGAACTAAGTCGTGAGTATTAAGCTGCCTGTCCGCGATTCCGGAGAAGGCGTATAGTGCGGCCTTGAGAGCTTTCTCTGCAACTTGATGACACTGGAAGCAGACAAGGTAATACAGTGGATCTCGGGCTGCCAAGAGATGTTCAACAGAGCGGATATCCTCTTTGCTTTGACGCATCCACATCTTGGACAAGCGTGCGTCGGGTCCCGTGTAACGTCTCCTGGAGTGTGATGTGAAACCAGTGAATCTCGGATTATGTCGACGGAAATTCTCGTAGCTTGAGCGTTGTCTTCGACCTCTTTGATACCACTGCCTAAAAAAGTCTGAAAAATCTGGCCGCGCCCTTGCGAACCCTTCATCACGGCCTCCTGATCCACCTTTTGAGAACTTTTCGACCTCGTTTTGTATGAACTTCATCACTTCATTGGCAATTTCTTGCATGTCCATGTTCTTGTCAGGGTGCCATCGAAGGAAAAGGCGTCTAATTGCCTTTTTCTGTTTGTCTTCCGGAAGTTTACAAATTTCAGCCAAAGCTTTTCTCACTTCTTTTAAGGCGTTTTCCAACGTTCTTGGCTTGGGAGGTTCGTTTGCACCTTGGGAAGATGTTGATGATTGCGTTCTTGCTTCTCCTGTATTTTGGCCACTGCTTCCTGCATAAGGCACAAGTTCCATTGTGTCTGAGACAGATTCCTCCTCCATTTCTTTGTCTTCTTCCTCGTGAATCGGTCGTGGTCGTTTGATCTTGTAGAGATCTAGCACATCCACCTCTATCTTCTCACTGCCGATATCTATAAGATACCTGCTAAGAAGGTTGCTCTCTCCTCTCTGTTTTCTCTTTGTCTTGTCCTTTTTTGATTTAGCAAGATTCGGCGTGTTAAGCTTGCGAATGATTTGTGCATATATGTACTTCGGTTCGTCGTCAGTGGAGTCTTCTCTTTCAAATGCAACAAATTCGCCCGGTCGAAAATAAAAGTCGTCATACTGTAACAGAAGTTCGTGGAGCTCTTCTGGTACCTCTGAGCCAAGATCAGGTTCCAAGTGTGGGGTGTCACCTGCTTCCGCGTCCTGGGAGACGCTCGCGTTGTCCAACACGGAAGAAATGCGATCAGGTGACTTGCATTCTAGAATAGCTTGCAGATGCAACCAGCTCTCGTTATCAATTTGACACCCCGTCAGCTGGTTTATCTCTTTACAGAGAACTCTGCGCACCTCATTAGGATCTACTCCATGTTTGATGAAAATGTGCTTTCTGCCATTTGCCTCTTGCTCCACAAAACAATCCATGTGCTTTGATCTACGACTCTCTGAAATTCGAGTATTAGTTCCATTTTCAACTAGCTCGGTGGACAGCTCTTCCATGCAACTTATGCTTAGCTCCTTTTGAAAACTGCGAACGTTGTTACGGACATCCTCTGTCAGTTTAGCTTTCTGGAACTGAAACTTTAAGATTCTCAAGATGCCATCCACAAGCTCAGGAGAAAACAATATTCGGCGGAGGTCATTTGCATTCTGGCATTTCTTCTCGGTGTCAGCCCGGCACTTCTTATCCCTGCACTCTGGATGAAGTTCTTCTCTCACTAATGATGCCAAGGACTGAACTTGTAGGTGAACTGGCAGAAGCTCAACAATTTGGCGAGGTGTGGCAAATGTTAAATTGTATTTTTTCAATGTATCGAGGAACTCGTACATAGAATGTGGTATACGAGACTGGTACTTAATGCAATCAAATAGGACCAGGTTTGTAGAGCGTTGGAGCTTTTGATCTCTGCTTGGAAGGTAAAGAGTTTCGATCTTATCCAGCGGATTGTCTCGCCGATCATCTCCATTGCGGTCTTTTCTGGCCTTTAGAGAAACAAATAGTCCAAATACAGCGTGTTTTGCGACTTGAAGTTCATTAGCATGCATCGTCTCCTCTTGACATGATTCTCTGAGACGACTAAGGAGTTTGGCAAACTGCACGGGGCTAGCTTCCTCCATTGCTCCAAGGCGTTTGAACAAGTGCTCAAAAATCCCGTATTCTCGAGGAACTCTGTACAGGTATGGTGGTAGTTGCTCATCAAGGCGAAACGCCAGCTGGTCACAACGGACAAACACTCGGCCATCTTCAACGAGAATGAAAGAAATTTCAGACAGTCGTTTTCCAATTTCGTGGCACACTTGCGAGCACGAGTCAAGGGAGTCACTTTTCTGGCAACTGCTTACACGTTGAAGGAATGTGTACACTTCAACCATGACTTGACTCAAAAGGTGACGTTTTGGTTGTGGTTGCTCTCGGTCAACGTCCTTTAAAAGGCTTTGCGACAGTTTTGTGACATGAGCAACAACCTGTTCAAGAGAAGGTTCCTCTAGAACTCCAAGGCTCTTCAGCTTTGGCAAGGTAGTGTTTGGAACAGCCCAGGAAGGAAGAAGAGATGTAGCCGTCCAGGTCAGTCTTTCAAAGGTGTCTGGCAGTGAACTGTGAAAGTGAATAAATGGAATAATTCCATCCTTACCTTGTCCTGAAGACAGATGCTGTCTGTGAAGAGAGCAAAGCTCGTCGCTAGCCTTTGAAGAGGCCACAAACTTTAGTGTCGAGAGTGTCCGAAGATAGGTAACATCGTGCAAGGACACGTTGTTAAAAAGGTGTGTAACGAGAACTCGAGACTTTTTTTCCAACTCACCGTGAGATTTCTTGCTCGTGTTCTCTGCTTGTTTGGTCACTTCTTTTGAGAACTCCAGAAATGTATCTTTACTGACCTCCTGCTTAAGACCAACTTTGCGAAGGAGGTCCAACCAACCGGATTTCTC